ATATACGCAGACCTTACCACTTCCTCCGCGAGGTAGTGAGGCTGTTTCAGAAAGCGAGTGCCAGACATTGAATGATCAAAAAGAGAGGATTTTGCTAAGCACATACTTGGAGATCTAGAAGTAAAGGCACTTGGGTCTCTTCAATTTTTGCAGCTAAAGAAAGACAAGTCACAGCAGCAAGTTGGTTCATCCATGGCTGCTTCTCACTTTGTGACTGTACGCTAAAAAGAAACCTATCAAGGTAGTTTACAGCAAGAATTGCAGTTTGAGCAGAGAAATTATGATAATCAACACCTTCAAGAATCCATTCAATTGCTTCTTTTCTAAATACAGACAAAAATGGGTTGTTTATTACAACATTATACATTTGATTTTCTTCTTCTTTAGACAACAAAGACTCTAATTCCTCTTTTTCCCATATCAAATCTTGATTTAACAAAGAAACTGATTTGGGTTTTACTTCAAACACTTGAAAGGTCTCATCTTTACAATACAAAGAATCTAATACAAATGCCATCTTCTTCTTCTGTTAAGAAGAGGGATGTTTGGGGTTTTCATTTACTTCATTTTTTTTCCTTTTTTTGGTTGAAGAAGAAGCTAATGGAAGATGAATAGGCTCATTTCAGCCATTTTTATTCTGTGTTTTTGTAGAGTTTGGGAAGAAGAAAAGAAGGGGATTTGGGCGGAGTGAGATATAGTAGGGAAAATGTTTGTGTTTATATCGTGGGACTTGTGAGGGCATTTTATGGCACTATGTGGGTCCTTTTTCGGATCCTGCTAATACGGTATGCTTTTAAACGAGAAAAGTATGGATAACAATCTTAAATTCGATGTGATTTATTAGTTTCATTTTTAAATTATTGATAGCCTTAAGAACACTTTTTTACTTGACTAATTGAAGTTAAATACACTCTTGATCTTACAAAATGAGTCAAACACATCCCTAAATTCTCATCAAGTTTAGGACTATTTTCAACATTTCTCTCGACTTTTTATTGAGAATTCAATATTTCTACAAGAATTTGAGATCACTTATTATGTCAAGTGGAAGATCAGAAGCGTATTTAAGTTTAGTTAGTTTGAAACTACTTGCATGAATATTGGGTGAAAAATTAAAAAGAAATAATAAAAAACGATTATACACATTACTTAATATAAATTATAGTATATGTTTTTAATAAGGATAATAAGTATTTAGGATCGAAGAGAGTAATATTTATTTTATTTATATATCATAATTGAGATATTTATGTTTTTTAAAAAAAAATATTTATTTCATTTATGTGTCATAGTTGTGTGTGTTTTTACTTTTCTATTATTTTTTTAAAAAGAAAATGGAGGTCGAAAATGGGAAGGAGAGAGGGGAAGGGAGGAGGATTATAAGGTGGGGAAATTGAACCCTACTGCGATGAAAGTTTAGTAATTAATCAATGAGCTATTAAAAATTTTCTATGTTTATGTATGTAACTACTAAAATACGAGAAAGCCATAGGTAATTGGTCCATCGAAAGATCGAAAATCACATATTTTTTATGGACCTCCATATTAGAAAATTCACATGTTTTTAATAATTATTTTGCTTAATTTGATATAAATACTGACAGCACATTAAGAGTGTGTTGGTGTGAAGGATAATATTTTCTACTTATGAAAATATCTTGTAAAATTATTGATTAATCTAAATATCAAACACACCTAAATATATATAGATTAGTGATTAAAATCCCCATCTGCTAATTCTCACATTCTTGACTTCTTTATACTATTAAGTTATATATAATTTATAAAGGAGAAAAAGGGTTAAAGTAATTGTTTTTCAAAAATATTTTCAAAAACACTTTATACTATGGTGGAATAGTCATATATTCCTTCGAATCTCTTCTTTTATATATAAAAATATCTATTGATTAAAGCGTGATAAGCCATAAATAAAAAGAAAAGATAGAGAAGAAAAGAAAGAAAGAAATAGAAACATCCAAAAGCTGCACTGCATGCCTAACATATGTAGCCTTCAAAGAATTACTCTTACCATCATCATTCTCACAAATTTCGTCGTTAAACTACTCGTAACTAACATAATATTCATGTATTATGAGTTTTAAATTTTAGTATATTGCAGTTTATTGTGTTTGAGATTGGATATTACATATAAGAATGAATTTCTTAATTTTAATAGAGTTTGAGTCTAAGTTACTAAATTTTATCGAATTCATGATGTAGATAAGTTTGTACTATTTATATCCCTCCTATATGTTGTTGAATTGCTCATAACTAACATAATGTTCAGTTATTATGAGTTTTGAATTTTAGTATATTACAATTTATTGTGTTCAAGATTTGATATTTGTACATTTAAATGAATTTCTTAATTTAAATAGAGTGTTTAATCAACACTTTGATATACATACAAAGTCTTTTCGCATCGAATGTTCTATTAAATGAGGGTAATGCACTTCCTACCGAAATATTTTTTATTTTCAAAATTTGAACTAAACCTCTTGTTCAATATAATCATTTAGCACAATTCTTAATGCTACAATGTTTAAAATTGACAGATATTATAATTAAACCAATAACGTCTATTTACCTCAAGTAAGTTCATTAAATAAGGTAATATGTCTTTAAAAAAAAAATTCAATTCAAAACTCGAACCTAAGACATGATATATACACTAGAATTTGAAGTCGAATTGTGATCTTTTTAAAAATCATTCTAGCACATCTTTTCTTGGTATATGATATGTTTAATTTAGAGTCAACAGACATGATAATAACTAAATCAATATGTTGGGAGCTAGCTCCCATTGTGCTATGATAAGTTGCTTTCTTTCTATTCTTTTCTTGACCTTTGCTTTTGAGCTTCCACCCTTTAGAGGCACAATCTCCAATGAGAGAAAAAATAATTATAAAGGATCAAAGATATAATCAACGTTGAAATTTTATATTAATGTATAGTTTAAATGTCGTATTTTATTCATAAACATGAAAATTCTTGTCATTTGAAAATTATCAAAACTAGAAATCGTGATTTGAAATTGCATGTTCAGAACGACACCATAGTCAAATATGAATTATTATTTTTTATCTTAGTTGACTCCTTTACTTGTTTTACATGATGTTATTTTTTGTTTTATGTTTTAATTCCTCCCAAATACATATTGTATGGGAGGAAGAGAAAATAGTAGAATAATAGATGACTACAGTTAGGAGTTCAAATATCTTCATACAATGTATTAACTTTTCAAGTAGAAACAATTGACATTTGAATACTTTATTTATTTCAATTTGATGAGGTAAAATTATTTGATTAGGCACGAAGCTTAAGAAAAACAAATAGATAGTAATTTTGAAACTTATGATCGATCATAAATAGGCATGCCATTATATTTGTACGTCTATAAGACTTCTAGAAATGTAGTCTTAAATTGTGACGTTTTTTATAGAGGACGGTTTGATGAGGCCGGATCAAGCAAAACTGACAAGTTGTTAGGTTGACAAGCTTCTGAAGATGATGCACACATAAGGCCTTAGACGAAACATCACATCAGAATGGGAGAGAAACGGAAAAAGTTTTATAAGTCATGACTCAAGTGCATATGATAGACGTGTTTTGGAGGGCCAACTAGACCAAAAACAAATAATACATATCATGAACTTGATTCGTAACAAGTAGAGCAATTTTCAAGTTTGCCAGGTTCAGTCAATCTTAATTATTAAGAAACTATAGGCTCAGAGTCCTCATAATTTCAAGTTTAAAATATGCATGAGGGTAATCATAGAGTCCACTATAGTAACAACTTTTGGAAAATAAAAAGTCCACAAAAGAACAAAATTACAACATGAGTTTGGTGCATTAATTCTAGGTTCATAGTCAAGGTAATTAAGTAAAAGGCATATTAGCTTTTGAAAATTTAGATGTATCATACAAAACACAAGTGAGCATGAGTTTGTTGGCTATCATGACTATCCACTACCACCTTGTATGATTGATCTCATAAGATCATAGATTGACATTTGTAAAAAAAAAAAAGATATACTATCAACTAGTGATGGAGTCAGATAATTTACGTTACTAAAATATAAAAAAGTAAATACACGAAGAAGTCAACAAAGAGATTCAACATCTACTATATATACACAACAAGTGAAGTTTGAAAAGGTAGAGTGTACACATATCTTACCACTACCTCGTGGAGGTAGATAAGCTGTTTGTGAAAGACCTTCAATTCAAATGCAATAAATCCAAGTTCAAAGAAGAAAACATAACTATTAAAGAAAACAATGTAAAGCCTATAAGAAAGGAACATGAACAAAAATAAAATAGTGCGATAACCAAAACATAATAAACAACCTGTGATGATAAATATCAAAAGTAAGAACTACAAAAGCACGGCTTATACACCATGTTGACCATTTATATATAATGTAAGTTTTCGAGAAAGAGTTCGGATGAAACCTCTTGTAGCCTTTAAAAGGTAAATTGTGGGTAGTTTCAATAATAAATTTGTTAAATTCTATTAGTACACAAAACTTAAACTCTTTATTACACCTGTACTACTTATTTTTCCCTTATCTCAATTAATCAACAGTCCATTAATATATGTAAATATTTATTTCAGTCCTTTTCTTGCTTCCCACCAAATAAACAAACATGATATGCTAGTAAACCCATATCCTGACTACTACATTGACTAAAAGTACTGTCAGAGGTTTCTTTAATTTTCAGCACACAAACATTCATTATTAGAGAAATGCCCAAAGCAAAACTCAACCACCACATTTAGTTTCAATGGTCTTACTAGTGATTTCCTTCCTCAACATAAGTTCACAGAGTTATCCGATATTTGTACTGGTGAAAATAACAAATACTCTATAGATAGTCATGGTGCCCCAAAGTTGTATAGTACTCGATATTGGTGAGAGGTAGCAAAATACCTAGTAGAATAGTTAAAGCAGGCGCAAGCCAGCCCAAACTCCACCGTCATTAAAGAAAAAATTATATAAGGAGACAACACATACCTCAACTATTGCACAACTATAACAACAGATGATGACTAGAAAAATAATATTGGTGACTTCAACACAAGAAGTCCCCTAATGAGCATATTTTTACCAAAAGAAATTGTTACACCTGTGTTAGCATACTTTAGGTAAAAAATAAATAAAAATACCATACTGAGACTATATGTTAAAATGAAAAATTCTGGAACTGATGGATCAATCCAAATTTTGAAATCAGCGAAAACTATGACAGATTCTCAGGGTATATAGTATATGGATGAATTATGTGCTCGACGATCATGACAATGAGCTCCAGGTGCAGCACGACGTGCTGAAACTTCTAATCTTTCTTCTTCCCTTTCTGAGGTGTTGGCTTTTGGTATATGATAATTTGACTCAAGATGGTACCATTCATCAGTACACCGATCACAGATCCCAAGGCAACTACAAATAAATCAAGGGAACTTGGAGAGTTAAAGGGCCGGACTGGTAAAATTACAATGAGTACACAAGGATAGACGTAAATTAAGCTGAAATTACGCAAGATGATAGAAACAAATTTGCGGTAGATAACTCTGGACAGTTCATACTGAATTAGAAACTATAGACATCCTTTCTAATGCAGAAATCTTCACCAAAGAAGAATATCGTTCAGGCACCTGTCGAGCAGGGATGAAAATCGGCCTCATTTTAAATGGTCATGATCTACTATCAAATATGAAAATCATTTATAGATATTCCTACTAAGAAATTGAATAATGGAAAACATAAAAGAATGGAAACGTTGACGCTGGGGTCTAAGGTAGGGATGGTAGTTATTTGTAGTAGGTAAAATTGACATCATAGATGGTGAAACGATAATAGTAACTCCTAAGCCCAAGAAGGAGGGGATGCTATGAGCCATATCTGTAAGAGGGAACTAAAAAGGGAACGTTTCATTGTTCTCGTAAATATCATAAAGACAACAATAAAAAAAAATTAAAGATGTTTTATCTGGGAAAAATGAGCTATAATCACATACTCAACTAGAACTGCAGACAATAAACTGGATAGAAGTCACACTGAGGGTAACATATCTCCTACGAAACCAGAAAGTATTCTAATCATTACACACATTTGACAAAATCAGGTTAGGACAAAGAATGTGTCGGCTTATAAGTTTGAAACGAATAAGGTACCGATCATTCCGAATTTCAGGAGTCTGAAAGATCATATAAAGGTACAGATCACACAAAGTAAGAGAGTTTACCACTCATGGGAGCTTTTTCCTGGAGGCTGGTAAAAACTCTAACTGCAACGTATAAAGGTAAAGGATATGAGAACTCCATTTTGGTATCAGAAAATCCGCAGGCTGAAGTTCATAGTCAGAGTTAACTTACCCATAGAACCGGCGAAGTTCATAAAGAAGGTCAAAAAGCTCAGTTCACCAGTACTTTTGCTCTGCTCAAATAAATGCAGTAGAAAAAGGTATAAAATAAAGTGGAAACAAGGAAAGCAAGTGAACATTATAGATGAAGCCGCAAAACAATCTCGGAAAGAAGTCAAATAAATGAGGACTGATTTCATACATATGACCAGCCATAATAGGTAAATGAATTCATTATTTCAGAACATAGTAAATAAACCAGGTTACTTCAAACATATACCCACAGCACCATGAAAATGAGAATCATCATGGCGTAAATGTGTACCTTAAAGTTCTTCCATATCTGCGGAATCCTTGCACAAAGAAAGATTGCATGTTGGGAAGCCTGAAGAAATATAATTTAGTTAAGACTGTTCGATCAGATATATTAGAATCAATTGGTTTGTAGCCTTTACAGATTTATTTTAGTTTTATGTCTTTTGACAAGAAATTTGTTTTTACTGATAAGAGTATGAAATAACACAAGATATCTTTGGAGGGTCATTTTCTTCAATTCAATGTGTAAAAGACTATATTCACCCATTGACTCGATATATTATCCAATATTAGAAGCCATCGCATGGAAAAAAGGAATAGAATCCCCCTAAACTTCGATCATATTTTCAACTACACACTTATTCTTTACGGGTTCTAATAGACCCCTTAACTTTTTAAAAATGGAATAATACCACCTAAAGTGTCATGGCTAATTTTTTGTTAAGTGGTGTAATACTTTAGCTTGGCACATGTATTTGTCGCTTCAATTTTATTTTTATAATCTTCTGTCCCCAGAAACTTTCCGTACCTCTTATTCCATTCCTCCATCACCTTTTCATCATCCCCCCAATCTTCTTCTCGTCTCCCCCTACAGATTTCTCCATCTCCATAATTTATTTATTTATAACTTTCAACCTTTTAGTCTCTCCTTTTACATTGCCTCCAATTGCTCACTTTTTTGCCGACCATCTATTATCCGGCAAGATTGGAAACTCCAACAAGTACATATGTCAATTTCTTTATTTTAAATTTTGGTTCAAATGTTTAATTGGGTATTCAGAGAGAGAGAGACAAGATGAAAAAAGGGATTGAAAGGTGAAATTTGACGGGGAAAGGTGCAGGACGATGGCTGGGAAAATTCACGGCGATGTGAGAAACAGAGAGGAGATTGGTTACGGCAAAAACATAACAACAAAATGCAGCTAAGTTTAACTTTCTGCACACTATTCTCTACCGGTGACTATTCTGATTGCATTGTACCTATACTAGTCTGCCTTAGAGCCACCAGCCTATACTAGATCAATATTCCAGAGACTTTTTCGATCATTCTTAAAATTATTTCTGTTACGTCCCAATCACTTTTCTAATTTCTCATAATTTTCAGACAAGCATGAGCAATGGTAAAGTGTTCAATTGGACTCCCTTAAATGAAGAGAAATGTAAATTTTTTGCAATACTTTATCCCACAAAACAAACAGATATAGGAAAACATATCAAAGTTTAAGGCTATAACTTACATATAAGGCCTCGAAAAGAACGGGATCAATTTGACCTGCCAAAATAGTTGGGGCTACAGCACAATATCTGTTTACCAAATAAGGAGGAACTGCAGATTCTAATTTCATAGAAGGAATGACACCAATAAACATGAGTTCTGTAAAATGATAGCTCAATAATAATTTTGTGCATGGCGCAGTTGGAATTAGGATACAATAAGCCTTTCATCCATGTCTTCATTCCCAAAGGTTGAGAAAAATAGTAGATAATTGCAACCAAAATTATAGCTGCAACAAGAAAAAAGCACAAGATATTAGAGAAACTGAACCAGCCACATGAAAGTATGAAAATGAGATTATAAACTGCCACCGACTGAAATTTTTATCCCTCCCCTATCCGTAGACACTTCACTTGAATATCTATGAAAGGAAAATACGTGAATGAAAAATCGCAATAGAAACATTAACCAAAGCCTCTGCCAGAGCTGCTTGAAGTTAATGCACCATGCCACCGTCTGCTCAATGATACAGGTTTGAGAAGCTACAAAGCCCTAGTTTCTCAAGATATAGCAAAAGGAACTAAAAAATCCAATTAATGTATTATTGGAATGTCAAATGTACCTTGGATCAAAAGAAAAAGGTACTCGCCAAAAGCTGAAAACGGGAGCCCTTTGTGAAGACAATATGCCAAAGCAATGGTATAACCAAGTAGTTCGAGTTCAAAGGCCACAACACTAAGCCCTCTAACACTTTTGTGTTGCAAAATTTTAAGTATCTGCAAGAGGAACAGAAACAATAAGGAATGCACTTGTTCATTATCATATTTCTGTGAATCATTAGCAAGAAGTTAAGGACAAGAAACTAATTGACATCCTAATAGATGTCATCACTACAGCGAATGAATCAATCAAATAAACGCATACACAAGGCAAATTATGGGATATCTAAACTTAGAAATTTTCTAAAACTAACCCAAAATCACCAAAACAGTTACGGGTTATAGTCAATGGCATAAACAAATTAATATAACCATTGACAACCTACAACTTCTCTTGCCAAAAACCCACCCAAAAGTACCAAAAAACAAAAAGGAAAAGAGACAGAGACATTCATAAAAAGAAACCAATTAATGAAATGTCAGACCTCTTAGGAATGCAAAAGGGGTCGCCGAGAAGTACTTTTACCATATGAGGAACAGGTCATAGAATCTTCAATTCTAGAGACAAATCATTTTTCTGGATAGAGATGTAGTTGATTCATTAATTTGATGAACAGGCTAAGAGATGCAATTGAATTGAATGGCCAACGTACATGACTGTAAAAGTTTAAACACAGGTTATTAACACAGAGCATTCACGAAACATCCACAACTTTTCTGGATCTAAATTTAAGCACATTCAATAATCTGTCACAATAGGACTCAATAAAATTAAAATGATTAGATTCTTGAAGGGCTTAAGGTAAATAACCTAAGGAAGTTTAATCAACGGATTATAACATAACTATAAAAGTTTATCAACTATCTGGTTATCAACCCAGAGTAACTAAGAAACACCCATTACTTGACTGGATCCAAAATTGAGATATTTCAACACTACCATCACACAACACTCATAAACATAAAGACTGGACTTTGAAGGGCTTAAGGAAAATAGCCTGAGGAAGTTCAACTAAAGCATTATCACATGAAAGTAAAAGTTTATATGTTTGGTTATAAAACAACATACCCAGTGTGATCCCATAAGTGGGGTTGGGTAGGGTAGATGTACACAAACCTTACCCCTACTTTGTGGGGGTAGACGCAGGATTGCAAGAACAAATGACAACAAAATAGCAAGATACAGACAAACGAAGCAACAAATAGAAATACATATTGAAGAATATTTGGTTAAAAACACAGAGTGATAAATAAACACCCATTACTTAACTTGGATCCCAAAATTGAGCTAATTCAATACTACCACTACAATAAGACTCAATAAACACATAAAAGCCTCAAGCTTTACCGGGCTTAGCAAAGATAGCCTTTGGAAGTCTAACCAATGCACTATAACATGAAAGTAAAAGTTTATATATTTGATCCCAATCCAGAAAATATTCAAGATAGACCAATAACTTAACTGGATCCCAAATTGAGCTAATTCAATACTATCACCACAATAAGACTCAATTAACACATTGATTATCAACCCATAGTAATTAAGAAATACCCATCACTCAACTGGATCCCTAATTTAGCTAATTCAATACTACTATCACAACAACACTCAATTAATATATAAAGACTCCATTTTTACAGGACTAAACAAGAAATTACATGGGAAAGTTTAACCAAAGGACTATAACATGAAAGTAAAAATTTATATATCTAATTAAAAACCCATAGTATTTAAGAAACCCATTACTCAACTGGATCCAAAACTGAGCTAATTCAATACTTCTATCACAACAACACTCAACTAATACATAAAGACTCCTTTGTTTTAATAACCGTTGTGTCAGGATCAACTTTTGCGCACCTCAACTAATTACATGTGATACCTTCCATCTCACAGCAACAAGCAACATATACAAGACAACTCTGTCCACCACGGCTATGACAGATGGAAGAAATCCCCCTAGTATTTTTTAACCAAAGGACTATAACATGAAAGTAAAAATTTATATATCTAATTAAAAACCCATAGTATTTAAGAAACCCATTACTCAACTGGATCCAAAACTGAGCTAATTCAATACTTCTATCACAACAACACTCAACTAATACATAAAGACTCCTTTGTTTTAATAACCGTTGTGTCAGGATCAACTTTTGCGCACCTCAACTAATTACATGTGATACCTTCCATCTCACAGCAACAAGCAACATATACAAGATAACTCTGTCCACCACGGCTATGACAGATGGAAGAAATCCCCTAGTATTTTTAACCAAAGGACTATAACATGAAAGTAAAAATTTATATATCTAATCAAAAACCCATAGTAATTAAGAAACACCCTTTACTTATCTGGATCCAAAATTCAGCTAATTCAATACTACTATCACAACAACACTCAATTAATACATAAAAAGACTCAATTTTTAACATGGGTCAAGGGAAATAACCTGAGGAAGTTTAACAGTGGTGGAGGCAGCAACAATTGCATAACCAAGAAGCTTGGAAATTAAGGGAAGCAAACAATCTTTTTCTGGGAATTGACCATTACTGAGAGATCCAAGTGCACAACCAAAGTCCATTCCAAGAAACTTTAATTCCACCATTTTTTTTATCTAATCAACAACTCTTCTGGGTTGTACCCTAATACAAAAATCAGACAATGATTTGAAGTTTTTTTTTTTTTTTTGGACAAATCTAAATGGGATTTCAGTGATTTAATTCTTAAAAGGGTACAAATTTCAAGAAGAAGAATTGTTAGTAAAGGTTATAGTTAGTTGGCAGCCTTCTAGGTTGGGGCAATTTGTGGTCCCCATAATTTTATTTTATTTTTTATTTGTCCGTCCCAAAATAAGTGTCGTTAAAGAAAAAAAAAATTGTATATTTTTTTCGACTATAGTCTTATGTTTTGTTTTTCTTAATAACGTTCAATTCTCAAGAAACATTATTAAATTGATTTGGTAAATAACATATTGTATGTACTATGTAGTAGTTTTTAAATGACCGTGATTTCTGCTAAGCTGACACTTTTTTGGAATAGAAAGAGAGGTATTTTATGAATATATCTTTTTTCTAGGGGTTTCTCAATGCTCGATATATATTGGAGTAAGACTAAATTTTAATCTGCGCATTGCAAGGTTTATTTCTTGAAATGATTCTTCCAAAGAAATTTTATTTTTATTTTTGAGGACTTCAATCTGAAACCTCTGATTAGAGCGGAAGGACGTCGAATATCCTATCATAACCTATGGTGATGACAATATCATATATTAGTGCAATTTAGCTTACTAAAAAGTAGTAGTTTCTTTTCTTAATTTTAATCTATTAATATAATGGATTATGAGTTACATTTAAAAACCTTATAGTAGAAAGGATATTTGCAATACTAGTGCAAAGAAGTTAAATCATAATTTATAACTTATATGCGGTTGACAAGCAAAGAATTTTGATATTGTTAGGTTGCATAAGCCACAAAGGTCAACTAAAATAAGGTCTTGTAATGCATGTAAATTAGTATTAGTTAGTATAATTTAGAAGAGAGCAATAAGTAACAATTTATAATATTCTTTAATTAAACTGATTTATTTATTTTACTATTTTGTACAATAATTAAATTATTGATTTTTGGTTAATTCAGAGATACATATGAAAATTTTTGCTCTATGCTAATGCAATTTTTAGATTTCTATTTGTCAAGCATACATGTAAATCACTCTCTATACACACAAGATACATGTATTTATATGTATTTGGAGTGATTCACATATATTTGGGATACCAAATGTATGGGATAGTGGCAAGCGAGAAGAGAGAGAGGCGGGCGAGATTTGCTATATATTTCAGATACATGTGAATCCACTTGGATACAATGTATATAGAACAAATTACACCTACATTTGACCTCATGTATTCGAGATCCATGTATCTGGAGGCACCGAAATCTGATAAGATATGTAATATTGCAAATTAAAGTGTATCTAAGTAATTAGCTACTAGACTAATGAAATTTCTGCAAATTCCCTTTTTTAATTGATGGAGATTTCTTTAATGAGATGAAGACAAATAAAATTGGTTAATATGATCAAAGGTTTATGACGCGTTTAATTCTTTTTTATATATATCTTTTTTATTTAATTTGTAATTGTCTAATGTAATATTCTTGATATATAACAACATATTAATCAAAACAAAACATTTCACATAATATATCTGGTGATAACGTAACAAAGAATAAGACACTTCGAAAAAAAATACAATAATACTTTAAAACTTAGTGTTATTTAGTAAAAAAATTAAGTACTCAGAGTGAGAAGCCAATTATTCACGGAGAAAAAAGAGATAATTAAATCGTTAAGAGTCCAACAATCTAATTTTGATTTATTTAAAATAATATGAGTTTTGATAATCTTTCAACTTTTAATGAGAGATATATTACCAATTAAACATGATTTTTGAGTATATTGGTCACCAATGATAAACAACTTTCAACTACATTTTGATTGTCCGACTTTGGGGATGTTATGAGCCAAAAATTTAGAGGGTGTTGTCATAATTATGTGAAATAAATTTGTGTCAATGTTAAAAGAAAGTAACTGCAAAACCTAATTTTTTTATTTAAATTTGAAATTGGAACCTTCAACATTGATGTACGTAAACATGGTGGGACAAAACAAAAGAGGTAACTGAAAGGTACAGAAGATAGTCTTTTTTATTATTATTGTTGAAACCAAGTACCAATGGAAGAATAAAAAGCATTACTTGGAGTCTTCATAATAAGAAACAAGGACTATGTACTGAATAATTAGACAAAGTAGAACAATAATCCTTCTTCAATAAAGAAGCAATATATACAAATCATTAATCAACATCTTGTAATCTTGATAATGCATTTGTCTGTCTCTACACCTTTCTGCTGGAAAATGAGGTTTGTTAATCAATGTACCAATTCACGTCCCTCTGTTGGCGCTGCTCTTTCACCTCATTCCACTGTATTGGTGCTTGTAGAATTCAAGAACTGCTCTTCTTTCCTCCATTTCCGAAGGCCCCAATAGGTTGTGCAAGAATGCGCTTCATTGCCTTCACTCCCAATGGGTTGCCCTTGCTCTGTATCAACAAAAGCAATAGAGTAAGTAGAGAAAAAACTCTGGTCCAAATTCTTTACGTTGTCTGTGCATAGGAGAGTTGAAACTCCTTTGTAGAATTGACAAATTCAAATTACTTACCATTGAGCAGGTGCCTTGACGAACATTGCAGACAGGATAGTCGTGTGGGCAGCAACTGTAGTGGTCTTCACAGCAAGTGGCTCCTTCAAGTGGGCAGCATCCCCAAGAGAAGCAAGAATTATGGAACTGAAGGATACAGCAGCAAGTGGTGCCGACAGGGCATTGAGAAGATTCATCACACTCGGTAGGTGGCTTGACTGGAGATGGAGGAGATGGAGCGGGTTTAGGAGGATTTGCGCCTGTCTTTACTGGATATGAAGGCTCTATGGCTAAACCACACAAGCCACTAGACCTGGCAACGTTACGTTGGACTCTGAGGTAGCCCTTCTCTCCCCATTTAGCTCCCCATGAGTTCCTAATGATCCAATAATCCATGCCATTCTCAGTACCATATCCAGCAACAACTACACCATGATCCACTGCAGTACTACATTTTCCAGTAAAGATACCCTGAAATTACAAGTAGGATAATCGCGTAAATAATTGGATGTGATCATTATTATATCATAGTTTTTCGACCTACAATTAGAAGTCTGTCAATTAATATATCTTTGGTCGGAAAAAAAACTACACGTCATTGATCAAAAGGCAACATTTTACTGTAAAGACATTAACTTAGATAGGGTAATACGAGAATAGAAACATACAGATTTGTAGTGCTGGAAGTCTCTGCCACCAGCTTCAATTGCAATGCTCACAGGTTGATGTGCAACAGCCTTTTGTAGCGCCTTTTCGTTATTAACAGGAACATCTTCATAGCTATCTATTTTAACAACCTTGGCATTTTTCTGCATCACAAACAAAATATGCTGCCACTTATTAGTCTAAATTTTAACATTGGTATTTAGTTAGGAGTGTAATTGAAATCAAGAATGTTATACTGACCCTGTACTGGTCGCATACGCCATTACGTTCTTTGTAAGGGTAGTCTTCTTCAGTGTCAATTCCTCCATTATTGATGACGAATTCAAAGGCATAGTCCATAAGACCACCATCGCAACCTTGATTGTACGACTTATCACAATCCACCAACTCTTGCTCTGATAGTGATATCAAATTCCCGGTTACTATCGCATTTATTGATTCCATGGCAGCAACGGCAGAGAATGCCCAACAACTCCCTGGTTCATTTAATCGATTGATTAGAACACAAATATTCAGCCATACAACAAATTTATTGAATTGAAGTATACAAATGTTTAGCCATTTTTTTATGGTTGAGGCACATAATTTGGTGGTAGTTAAGCAGTAAAATAGTTATATCACATGGGTCATTTGATAGCTGGTTAGAGTTCATAACTCGCAGATACATTGCTCATTTGCTCGATACATAAGTTTTGTACCAGATACATAACTATAACTATAAACTAGGTTCATATTGATTTAGATTTGAAATAATTGAGATTATGTATCAACAATAACATTTGTACCAAATATATTGTACAAACAAAATTGTAATGTATCTAATAGAGGAGTGATGTATCCAAATGTTAAGAGAGAAGAAAAAAAAAATAAAAATTTGTAATTAATTCAAATGAAAGGAATTTTGAGAGATTATGTTATCTTAAGTCGTGTAATTACGTAATTTTTCCATTATTATGTGCAAGGATATTCATGTAGCATGATAATATCTAAATTTCCTTATAACTTATACATGCATTAGTTATATAGATTTTTAATATAATAATATTTTTAATAAATACGACAAGTATTTTAAGAAGAGGAAGCATCTACTAAAAAATCAAGACATGTTGGAGGCATCATAGAATTTTAAAACATATTTCAAACTTGTCAAAAAGCTGCAAAGATGCCAAAAGATACAAATTAGTTTGCCAAATGAATAACATTTGAAATCGATGTTTGTTCCCTTGTTTGTTTGTTGATATTTTTATAATTCATATGGTATTTTATAAGGAGGATGAAACTGACATTATTGGGTCAATTCATGTAACGTTTATATCGATTTGCAAATTAAATATAGCATATATTATAGTATTCTATAAACATCAATCATTGAGCTTTTCCATAATTATCAAGTTCCGTTGTTTAAAGTTTTTCACCATAATTATCTGTTGTGTTCATATTTGACCCGAAAAATAATTAGGAAAATTTTTTGAGAACAAAATAACAGATTATAATACTTTAAGGAGTCGTTTGGTTTGAATATGAGTTATGATGGGATAAGTTATGTTGGGATAAGTTATGTTGGGATTAGTTATGATGGGATAAGTTGTCCTGGGATTATTTCTTATTGAGTGTTTGGTTTGTTATATTCAAAATAATATTTATTGATAAATTTTAAGAACAAGTTGTTTGTTTACAAAATTACCCTTCACTTTATTTAAACTTTTTAAATATTTCTTTGTGAGCTTTAGTTATTCATTTTTTAAAATAAAACTTTTATTTTATTTAACTTAAATATTTTTGTTTATGTATTCCCATGATAAGTACCATGTGTATTTAAAAATATAACTTTTTTCTTATTTAGCTTAAAAATAGAACTTCCCTCTTAAGTTTATTAAAG